TGATAATGGTATTAAACAATTCAAAACCAAATAACATGCAAATAAAAATGCTCAAGATGAAATTTTTACTTATTCCCTTCTCAAAACCGCCGCAAGTTGTAATGGCGTAGAAAATACAAAGCCAGACATCCCGATTTTTAAACAAAAATATAATGTCTCGCCATAGTAAGAAAGACAGATAATGCATAAAAACTTTTTCAATCAGAAGACGAATAAAACTCAAAATAAAAATGTGGAGGTCTTTGTGTAAATATTTTTTTCCATCTCTGCGATAAAATTAAACTATTAATTCTTTAACGTTTAACAACTTAATTTAAAAAATCGAAAATAAATTGAAAAAAATGTCGACTCGGGCATGACTTGAGAGCAACAGCACGGAAAACTGACGACGACGCAATAACATGTGAAAAATATAAAAAGTTTTCAAACACTTAACAACTTCGGAAGATATACTGTTTTACTGTATAGCGCTTTTGTTAATGACATTCTGATTTGTTCAGTAATTTTTTTTTTATAAATCTCGGTATAAGAAGGATAGGGGTTTAATAAGATAGACAAAAGCTGTTCATCAAGCATAGTAGATTAATTTATGATTTAGTTGAGACGTATCCATTATAACCACGAAGGTATTTGCTAGGTAAGTTGCTCGTTAGTTCCTGCATTGTCTAAGTATCGGCTAAATCTATAAGATCCACAAAGTTATACAGCGCTCTGCAATCCAATGTTCTGCTGTAAATAGGTCGAATACGTGCTTCCAATTTTACTTTACATTATATTGACATCATGTACGATTGTAATTTAGGTGCAACACAGTTAACGATACTTTGAAATTGCTGTTAGAAAACAAACGATTAAGTGTTAAGTTTCTTTAAACAGTTTAAAAGCTTCTATGTTGGTTTTTTCTTCAAATGTGACTAGACGCTCTGATTGCTTTAGAGTTTAGCCTGTGTTATGTTGCACTGTATTTATTTAATTGTAAAAAATTAAAAACTATAAAATACGAAGATTCTAAATTATTCTAATTTTTACGCTGTAATTATAGAAGAGGTCAATGTATACAGGGCAATATTGTCGTGAAACAATTATAAGGTAGTTTGAATAGATCCTTTTTGCATTACAAAAATTGACAAATTATTACATGTCACAACACAGATGGTGAAACACGAAAATTTCAACTTGTACTATTATTTTAGTAAATTTGAGAATCAAATCGTTTTGTAGGTTTTCCTAAACACGATAAGAAAGTAGCAAGAGGCACATAACGGTCCGATTCACAATCACATCGATATCGCGTGACATCGATTATATCGAGTAGATACACATGTCGTAAACGGGACCGATATCGATAGCCAAATAAACTAGCAAACCACATCGATTACCTGTCAACAGCAGCTTCTGAATGACCGTAGAGCGGTTACCACAGAGCCCGGCCAATATAAGGTTGTAATATAAGAATTATTTATGGAGCACGATGGGCTATAAAAGAATATGATACAGCCAATTTTGACGCACAGTCTAGTGCTCTAGAAAAACTTCGATTTTTATTTAGAGTTTAGAGTTATATAGAGATAGTTCACTAAATCAAACAACTCATAAAATAATATAAAATTTTAAAACCTTTATGTTCCAACTCGGGAAAATTTTTTGTATTACTTCGTACTGCATTCCGAAATTATTATAGAACACGAAATACAAAAGACATCTTGAGATGAAAGTTTTTCTACAGTTTTAATAAGAAGGCCATTCACTGCATACTTTCGTTCGGACGGTGGGGGTGAAAAGGACGCCTTATCGCAATAAGTCGTGACACCAGAAAATTAAAAGTGCCCCGTCATGGTTCGGCTATCTAAGGAAACAGGGTGACTGAGCTCTTATAAAGCTTAATTAATTGGCGTTTTGGCGCAGATGGACATCTTTTACAGTAACTTTGGCAGGAGATTTAATTTACGCAATGTCACATTGTCCCTTGATAGTTTGAGTATTGGTTTAGGATAGTGAAGCTGTAAGTCTTCGCTTCTAATGTTATTAATTAAAAACTTTTTCAGTTATCAGCGGTTTATTCTTTAAGCAAAGTTAGATCGAGTTGGAGATGTTCAAACACCCATTGCTTGATTCATTATTTATTATATATAAAACAGAATCGAATTGCGAAATAATATATCCTTTATTATAAAATTTCTAATAGTGTAATTTAGAAAGTTGTTTGTGTTTATGATGTTTCATGAGTTTTAATATAATTAATGTTATGACACATCATGATGCATTATACATTATATTAGATAAGAATATGAATTACCAGAATGTTAAATTTTGTAACATTGTAAGCTCGGTAATGTATATAACTAATAAAATAAACGACGGCCGGCGCCTTAAACTTGAACAGTGTAACAAGTTACACTGTGTTTAGTTTAAATTTTTGTAAAGCTGTTTTCTAGAGGGGTTAATATTCGCAGTTTTTAAAACCGATGTTTTAGACGTGATTGGATAAGTCGGTGACTTATCCAATCGCGTCTCCATCTCAGTACTGTTATAGTTAAAATTATGTTCTTTGGCGATATGTTTAGACATGTTGACTAACGTAATGTTAGGCGCAAAGAGTTTAAATGCCAGAGAATCATAATACATACTTTGGATCACACTTAAAACAGAAAAATAAAGTGTCATCTTTAATTACGACAAAATGACATGTACTGATGATGACTATTTCAAATTTATGACTTTAATTAACCACAACATACCCAAAACCATTCATACCACTGTCCATGGTATTCTAAGCAATATAATACATGATAAATTGATAATATTCTCTATTATTATTATTTTCTATCAGGGACACCCTTGGCAGGACAGGTGATCAGTCCATGTTATCCGCTGACCACTTCACCCATTTCCCCATTTCCTCCTTGCAGAGTTTTTGGGTCATCCAACTCTCCCCGTGTCCCTTCAACCTTCCGGTTTGCTTGCAGAATCTATTTTTTTTTTCATCTGTAGTTCTTTAATGTCTTCTACTGTAACTTTGTACGAGCCCATATGATTTGTCTTAGCCTCGAGTACGCAGAGCATTAGTGAGTTGATGGATGCTTGTTTTCTCACTTTCTCTGCACTCCGGACATAGGGGGTCGCTGCCTATTCCTATCATTGTAAGATGTCTGTTTAGACGGCAATGTCCTGTTATAATTTCTACGATGAGTCGGATATTCGCTCTGTTAGTCTATCAGGTTTTTGGTCTTCTTTTTATCTAGGCTATGTATAAACATTTTCGACTGTCTCATTCCAGTCGAAGATTTCCATCTTTGTTGTTTCTTTATGATTTGGCTGATGGAGTCTGGTTCCGGCCCTACAGGTTTCATCGGCTCTTTCGGAGCGAGTTCGCGCTCTCTCATTGCTAATATTTCCTTGGTGTGGGACAGGCAATTGCCACTTCTACCTGATCAGTTATTTGTGAGTGCTTTCTTACATTCTTTGACAATAGAGATGTTGTCTCTTTTTGAAGGTTAGTGTGACTGTATGTAAATTGTAACCTTGAAGGGGTTTAAGGCCTGGCAATGTCTGAATTCCAGATGGGAATATATACTGTAGGTTTGGGGATGATCTCGTTATCCCTGTTCCGTCCTCGCATTTCATTTTCATTTTCCGAGTCTATTCTCCACTTCTGCCTTTCCCCAATGTGGATTCTGTATCTCTTGTCAAAAATCCTTTCCTTTTGTATAAAATCATTGTTGGAAAGGATCATTGACATGTTCTTGTGATTTACTTTACCTATCTAGCATAGACCTTTGTCCATGATATTACCTTTCCATAGGTCTGTGCTTTTTAACCTGAACCACGTTTCCGTGGCTTTCCTTTTTATTTCTAGATCTATTGGCATTAGTCCAAGGATGATCTCAAGCGCCGCTGTTGGAGTCGTCCTCATTGCACCCGTAATCATCAATGTGGCTAACCTCTGCACTTTGTCTAGTTCTATTTTATTGGACTTTAGCAAGGCCTTATGCCATCACACTATTGCACCATGAGTTATTCTGGGTAATATTATCGCCCTGTATATCCAGGCGACAACATTTGGATTTAACCCCCATGTTCGACCTATAGCACTTTTGCATTGTAACTGATATGAGAGCTGAAACTTAGTTTGCTATCCAGTGATACGCCAAGATACTTTATCTCTTTTACTAGTTCAAGTTCTGAGTTATATATGCGAACTGGCTCTCTATGTACTAGCTTTCTTTTGTTTGTAAAAAGTACTAATTTGGTTTTATCAGGATTGAGATTCAGACCCTTACTCCTGTACCATTTAACTATTTCCCTTAGTTCTTTATTCATGATCGTGCATATGGTACCTAGCACCTTTCCTGTCACCATTATAGCTCCGTCATCTGAATATACTTGTGTGTAAATAGGCATCGAGTTGATGCGATCGACTAACTCGTCTATAAGGAGACACCACAGTAGTGGAGATAAACATCCACCCTGTGGAAAGCCCCTCCTAGCCTTCACTTTGTACTTTACTCCTGCAATGTCTGATTGTATCAGCCGGTGCTTGAGCATGTTTCTTATCCATTTGCCAATGTCCGTACCGATTCCTTTTCTGCTCAAAGTAGCCTCGATTGCGTCAGGGTGTGCTATGTTGAAAGCACCCTCGACGTCAAAGAAGCAACCTAGTGCATATTCTAAAAATGTTTTCTAACGAGAGATCTTAGCAATTTCAGGAAATAATAAATTAATTATTTGATACCAAGGTTTCGGCAATCATCCTAGTTCATACACGCGGATGTCAATTGTCATCTATCAAAGTATGAAAGTTGTCAAATGTCATCTCCGCGTACCTTGTTGATTCATAATTATTGGTAAATTAAATTGTATCACAAATCAAAGCAAGAACTCTAATAACATAGATGAATACCGCTTTTAAAGGCGAAATATTTAAGCAAAGACAGTAGTGCCCTTTTTATAAAGCATATAAATACCATGTAATATGTACCCTGTTTAGTGATAAACAGAAAATGGACCAACAATTTTCATTGTCTTGGAATAACTTTCATGGTAACTTAAGCAAGGGATTCGCTGGACTATTGGGCAATGGTGAATTTGTCGACGTTACGATTGCTGTGGAAGGCCACTTGCTTCAGGCCCACAAAGTTATACTCTCAATATGTTCACCTTACTTCAAGAAAATGTTCCAACTAAATCCTTGTCAACATCCAATTGGTAAGTTTCTATTTAGGTTCAAAATAAACCTAGTTGTTTTATAGCATTCAATTAGGTATATAACTTAGATGGCTTATTATGCATCCTTGGTTATATTAATATATCTGGTAATTAATGTTGTGGACAAGTGAGTAAAAAGTGTACACCTTTTGTTATTAATACTCTTTTGAACATCAATCTATGAGAAATGATAAGGAATAAATGAATACAATATTTGTGTCCAGGGTGTCTGTGGCCCAAACAGATAGATATATATGATATAGTCATTATTCTTATTACAGTTGTTCTCCGAGATGTGACACATAAGGCAATGAGAGATTTGTTACAATTTATGTATCATGGTGAAGTTAGTGTTAAAAGAGAAGATCTCACTAGTTTTATAGGAACAGCTGAAGTGTTGCAAATTAAAGGATTAACAAACAAAGAGGTAATAACTTTATACATATAAATTTATTTTTGAGACAACTTTTTATTGTTATTTCAACCTATATTGGTTAAACATTACATTATTTTATTTGGTATTTATTTTCAGACTGAAGATGATGTTTCCGAGACTGAAAAAGATCCTATACAAATTATAGAAACTCAAAATGATAACCACAACTCAGAATCTTGTGCATCTGATATATATGATTCATCACCAAACGACACACCAGAATCATATGAATTAGATTTATTCAAGCAAAGAAAATTACTTGGAAAACTTCAGCAAATCAGTGAGTTAAAAAGAAAGTCGGATGAATTCCTCAGAACAAACTACTATACAGACATACTCAATGCAGAGAAAAGGCAAAAGTTAAATGAAAAACCACAGAGTAAACCATCAAATCACCCGCTCCACAGCACATTTGATGATTTGAAAAAAATATATGATGAAAATCCCGTGGAAATAACAACAACAATTAATCCTAATGTACACAGTCCTGCAAAAAATAATATTATGAATGAGAGAAATAAGAATACCAGTGCAACAGATAATTCAATTGAATTGAAAACTGAATGTGATGATAGTGACATAATTGTATCAGATCCAGCCGTATGTACAGCACATGAAACAATACAGGATGGAAAGAAAAATTTAATGATGCCATTGGATTTGCAGACAACACAAGACAGTGAGTATTTTATGACTTATATGACATGTTATTTCAATTGTGCTCATACCTTTAATTGTGCAAAATAACTGGATCTTTACTAAAGTAATTTAAAAAATACATACATGTAGCTATTATTCATAGCCATAAACTTCTTTCTGGTTATTTTGTATTCACTTACATAGATCTTTATGTATTGCATCCTAATAAGCTTTTATAAACCTAGTATAGATTGTGTTGAAAATGCAATTATTTTCTTAGTTTTCATCGAATACATTTGTTGCATTATGTTCTTTTGCTATCATCCATTGAAAACACGATGGCATTTTCAACATCATCAACATCCTTTTTGTCTAATTAAAAAAAAATATTTGAAAATGCCCATCGTGATTTCAGATTGCACCGGTCTCAATGCACTTTTTATGGATCTTAAAAATTTAGTAAACGGGAAGGTCTCGAATAAAATTGTGAGGCCGATTTACGAGGAGTACGCGAGGCCCGCCCTAGATCACCGCCTTGTGACGATCCCACAAAAGGAAGATGGAAAAAAGAAATACCCCCAACGTTCTTGCCGTCTCTGTTGGCGGATAGGAAAGCGCCGCGACACTCGTTTCATGTGTAGTGCTTGTGAATTGCCGTTCTGTAAATCGCCATGCTTCGAGATACATTTTAATGATGTATTTAAAGTGTCCCAATTCCACGGAGATTATTATGCTAACTAAACTGCTCTATAGTAGACATGCGCTAAGTACTGACTTTCTTCAAGTTCTTAATTTGGCCAGGGTTAAAGAAATAAATTCAAGCATTTATATAGAGAGTAGTTACTAAATGATATAGTGTTTACAAAACAGGCATAACACATCATTATATTACTTTTCTACTGTCTTAGTGATAATAGTCGAGTAGATTAAAAGTTAATTTATTAAAGAACAATATTCTAAATATTTTAACAAATATATGAGACTTGAAGTAAATAATAATATACTCAACAACTTGTATTGCGCGCATGTCTACTGTATATTTTTGTTTGAATACTGAATGTCATAAAAAGTGATAAATAAAAACAAGGAATCCAAGATTCAATATATTCGGGACCAAATTATATCGCAGACATATTTAATAGAAATATATATTTTTGTAAATCCATTTAAATTTTAAATCATTTACACAATCAATACAAATGATATACATATATTTTATTATACTAAGTTCATACATAAAATGTAAACCTCTTGCTAGTTTTAAGTAAGCTGTGATACGACGGCTTGTGTGTGCCAATTACATGTATTTTTATAATGTAGAATATTTTAATTTTGGTGCCATTTTTCTTCTGCCATACTTTCGAAAGACTTTTCATTGCTCATGTTCTAGTCTTATTTTTGTATTACATTTCTTACTTCTTTCTGAGTGACTTGTATGTTGTAAGCGTGTTTGTAATGTATGATCTCTAATTTAGCGTATTTTGGCCTATTGTGATTTTTAATTATGCTTTAAAATTAAGAAAATTAACATTCCAAATTTGAATTCGACTGGTGAGCGTTGCTTTTGTGCTATATATTGATTTGTGTGATTAATGATATATTACTTTGTATCAGTATATTTTGATAAATAAAACATTATATTGAATAGCTTTTTAGTGTTCCTATCAGTTCCAAAAGTTTTATTAGAGCTACTTTAGTAAAGCAATAGCAAACCTAAAAAAACGAAGTTATTATGGTTGTAATAAAAGATGCTATAATTTTTTTTGTATTTTTCAGGTGCTTTATCCCTTGTCATGAACGGATCCAGCGACAGTCAGTTACCAGTAAGATACAAGTACATTTACAGCAGGAAAGGCCACAAACAGTTGGTACATATGAACTTTGTATATACGAAACATTCTACCACTCACGGTAAGACATCGTGGAGGTGCGTGCAATATTTCTCCCTTAACAGATGTCCGGCCACAGTTGAAACTATTGACGCAATGATATACGCCGTCAACCATCAGCATAACCACGAAGATTGTTACGATAAACTTGTAAGGAATAATATCTATGAAATGGATAGCTCCTCTAAATAACATTAAAACTAAAAAAGCTGCATATATTATAGAAACCAAAGTAACAAAAATGTGTTTTTGTATTAGAATTCATACAATTCTGTTATGTTATAGTATTATTTGATTTTACGGTAATGGGTTAGATGAAACAATTATATAAAAAATGTAATTAACACTTGAAATATTGCTCTAAAAATTTCTAATTAATTACCAGTAAAAATTTTCTTGGGCTTTCTGAACGTACCATTTACATCGGCTACATAGAAACTTATTTTGCATTTTATTAAATCCACAACTGTATATGTATGTACATAGAATCTTAGACATAATCAACCATTGATTAGTCTTCAAGTCGATTCTACAATTTAAAATGTAAAGTTCCTACTGTAATTCTTAAGCTGTGTATACTTCTATTAAGGACTAATAATAGTGTAAATAATATACATTTACTGTAAGATTACAATTAAGATAAGATTCAAAGCAACTTTGGATTATTTGCTTTTTTGTTTAGAAACTCCAAAATAGTGATTTGAACTTATACTCTTCTATCAGTTTATTTCTTATACATTTATCTAGTCACAGGAGCTATTTGTATGTTTACAATATATATTAAAAATGTTTATAGAATGATACACCTGAATTTTCTAATAAACAATGTTTTATTTACATATTCTACATATTGATTAATCATTAAGATTTTTAAACTTTTACTGTCTATGTAAGTGCAGCCATTTTTCTCTTCCTTGATCTGTGTTTCTTGTTGAAACCAACCCCTGAAAAAATATATTTTATGTTTTACTAATAGAGTTAAGAAGATAACAAAAGATTGGCAAAGACAAACAGGAATATAAAAACAATTTGGATAATGAGGTTTGTTTTCGTCCAAAAGAATAGAATTTTATTGTGTTTATTCCAAGCAAGTGTGCATTTTTGGAATTAAAATATGTTATGACTATATACTATCCTAAATCCTTAGCTGAATTTTAATATATGAAATTCTTATTGCACAACTCGCACTTGAAAACAACTTACGGATATCAACATCAGGCTTTTCTTTCAGACCAAAGGACTTTGCGACTGCGCTCATATCCATGCTTAGCACATTGAAAACATGCTTCAATTTTTTCACTTCAAGTGCTCTAATGTAACCCTCAAATGCTTCTACAGCCATCTTATTAAATTGTGGATATAGCATTGCTTCTTCTATCTATGAAAGAAGAAAATTTTTCGCTTAAAAAACAACATAAATACAATACCCTAATAGAATAAATATATATTTTTTATAATAAACAGGTTAACATAAAACATCCAACCTTTGGCTGTAGATTACTGAATTTCTCCCATGTCTCATATTTGTCCAAGAAAACTTTTGCCTCTTTAAGATAACTTATGAATTCTAGTTCTTCAGGCCTTAGCAATAAAACTGCTCTGCCTTCTGCCCCAAGTCCTCTTGCAGTTCTTCCTACCCTGTGAATATATTCCTGGAAGGAAAGGCATAGGTGCTACAATTTCTTACTTAAAAGTGTTGAAAAAATATAAGGCTCAAGAGTACAGAAACCGAGTTTATATAATACACAACACTGTTGTAGTGAATATTCAGTGATTTTTAAACATATTCATAAGATGCCAAAAACAACATATACTAACATTGGTATCAGAAGGAGGATCAAACTGCACAATCCAATCTACAGCAGGTATGTCTAACCCTCTTGCTGCCAAATCTGTGCAGAAAAGAGCCATTTTATCAGCTCTGTAGAATTCAGAAATTACACTTGTTCTGTCTCCTTGGTTCATTTTACCCTATAAATATTATTTTCGGTGAATTAAGTTTAGAATATTTTTTATAAAATTAAAAAACAACATTGCATATATTGCTTTATATAATTATGTAGGCAAGTTATGAAAAACTTACATGTATGCAAAGAACTGACATATTGCAATACTTTGTTAAAAATTCATGATGAAACACTACTGATTTACAACTTGAAAAAAATACCATTAATTTCTGATTTTGGGTCTTTTTCAACAATTTATGCAACCAAAACAATCTATATTCTGTGTCACATATTGCATACCTGTAACAGACAATTAACAAGATTAGGAATATTATATGACTCCATATTTACCAGGGTGTGTTTAAATATTCCATTGATACCTTTGTTTTCTTTTAATTTTACAATCTATAATATAAAGACTTGAGGAATATAAAAATGGAATGCATTGGTAAGCGCAAAACTCAAAAATTCTGAGACCAATTGCCAGAAAAACCATAAAAATAGCCCTTTTCTTTTTCCTATACAAATGTTTAGTAAATAAAAGTATTCAATTTGAGCTTTATACTTATTATATAAAGTTCATATTGCATTACAAAGACTCGCTTTTGTCTAAGCAATGTAGGTGTGTTTCTAACATTAACATACAATTAGATTGGTAATAAGCTTGGTTTGGCTAAGCATATCTCATTCTGTTACCTAATCTATTGAGTTTGCTTTTTGCACATGATTTACAATAAAGCAATTACTCAGTTTTAAATCCATATATATATATATATTTTATAAATTATTTGCCCTATCATCAGGGTGGCGGTTACAACCCTATAAAACCCCACAACTATAAAATACATAGAAACAAAAAAACTGCCACATTACAAATTTTTATGACAGGACGAAGTCTGTCAGGTCCGTTAGATTATAATAATTTTGTCTTTACCCTTGTTTAAGTCCTTCAACTGTTGCTCTGTCATTATCTTCATTTGTGTTGATGGTATGAAAATCATCCTTCATAGCAGACTTTATTAATGCTTCTGTTGTTTCTGAATGTGTAGCACTGAATAACATTGTCTGTCTATTTTCTATAATCAGATGCAACATGACATTGTGTTATTATAAAAAAGATAACTAGAACTACACTTAAAGAAGGATATTATAGAACTTTGTTGTACTTACTTGGAAGTCTATTGATAATCTGTTTCAAGTCTTCTTCAAAACCATACTGAAATATTTTATCAGCTTCATCCAAAATGAGACAACAAACATTTTTATACTCAAACTCTTTGGTTCGCATATGATCAAAAAGTCTCCCAGGAGTTGCAATAACTATGTGAACACCTAAAAGAATTAATTTATTTTGCTACCTTCTTATTGTGTACTCTAAGGTCATAAAAAAAAACATACCTATTTAATTCCATGTTACCTTTAGATAGTTGAATACTTTGCGCTTGTCTATTTTCTCCCCCAATTATAAGTGCTGATGTTAAGTTATCATGAAAACCAAGAATATCTTCTAAAACTGAATGAGTTTGTATTGCAAGTTCTCTTGTAGGAGACACAATAATACAAAAGGTTGCTAAAACAGAATATTAAAAAAGATATTCCATGAGATTTGTACAATAGATAATCCTGTACTTTCAAATCACCGCAAAATTTAAATTACCTTGTTTTTGCTTAAATTTAGTCACCATTTCAATGGCTGGTATTAAAAATGACAAAGTTTTGCCAGAACCAGTTTTCGCCGTAGCAACAATATCGGATCCATCTAGTGCTTTAGGTATGACTTCATTTTGTATATCGGTCATTTGCCTAAAACCCATGTTCTTTACTGCTTTCAATGTTTCCTTCGATATATTTAACTCCTTAAACTTCTGATTCTCACGGGCGGTACTCATTTTAAATAAATGTTTGGAAATAACTGTGTCACGTTATAAATACTGAGTATAGTTCAACATTTATCATAATTTACATTATTGTATTTATTTATCGAAATAAACTTTTATTTTGTCCATGTGTTTGAAAATTGAAAGTATGAACTGGCAGCATAGAAAAGTCAAATAAAACAATATACCCCTCAAAATTAAAAAGTAAAGCCTTCTTCTTCTTAATTAGATGATAAGGCGTGATAATATAAATTATTGTTGTTATTTTATATTTTATTTTTTGACCACTGGTATTAAGAAAAATCACGGTATTTAAAAGAATATATATATTTATAAATTTAGTATTAAATCCAAAGCAGTTTTACGAAAGGTAAGTCACATGTCAGTTATTTTACAAAGATCTCGCTCGTCTACGATGCATTACGTACTGTCATTGGCAACGTGAAGAGAGATATAATGTTGATTGATTTCTTTTTTTAGTGTATTTGATTTTTAAATATTTTTTTACCATGCCTATGCCAGATAAAATATTAATGAGGAAGATTAAAAAGCGGGAGAAAAAGAAGCTTAAACTCATTGCTCAAAAATCAAATAACGACATTGTTGAAGGTAACCTATATGTATAATAAAACCATGCTGACTTGTTTTGATCAATTGTAAAATTATTAATATGATTAATTGAAACTATTTGATCTTTTCATAATCATTTGATAATTATTAAAGATTTCATTATTATTAATTTAAATTGTAGACGAAGTACAGGAAAGCAGCAAATCTACAGAACCAACTAAAAGACCACTAGACACAAATGGAGAATCTATACCCAAAAGTAAGTAGAATGGTACGAAAATTGTTTAGCAGTTCAGAATATATTACAGACAATTTAATATTCGCATGAATACATATACATCATTGCTGTATTGATGGTTTGGGTGCCATAATTTAGATAAGAGTAGCATTTGATAAAGGTTTTAGCAAGGTTTTAAGTACATAAAATAATACATAGCATCTGGTTCTAATCTTAAATTGTAATTATATTTACAAAAAAACACTAAAATAGTACAGAAATCTTACCAACCTATTGCAAAATATGGTTTTAATATTGATCTTACTTTAAAATTAAAGCTTTTTTAGTTCGATGGTGATACTTTAATGATTTTTAACTTTACTTTCAGAAAAGAAAAAAAAGAAGCAAAAACCTACCGCAGAAACAGAAACAAATGAAGTAGAAGTAAAAGAAGAGATAGCAGACAATGTTTCAGATTCTGAAAACCAAGAGAAGAAAAATGATGAAAGTCAATGTAAGTATTTTATTGAGTTATTAGTCAATATTTTTGTCTTTTTGGTGGTAGACATCAGCTGCAAAAAAAAAAAAAAAGTTTTAATCTAGAAAATTTAACATGTATATATTATAATTTATCTTTGTGTGTATAAAGAATTTAATAAATAAATAATAAAATTTTAAAGTATTTGACAGTAAAAGGTAACACAGGTGAGACTCAAATGATGCAAATTGAGGGACTCTTGGTACTTACATACAATTATAACTCAATTTAACAACAGTACATGAATAAATTACTTTTATTTAGGTTCCCAAAACATTATCACTTATTAATTTTTATATTTTTTACTCTCTCAGCTACCTAGCTTTTCAGCCCTTGTTTTAATAATAATTATTCTTGGTGTAGTGCCAGGATCCAGCTTGTGCCTTGGAATCTTATCAGATCAAAAATTCTCATCCCTTGAGGGTAAAGTCTGTGAACCAACGTTAATGGGTGTTAAAGACATGGGCTTTACGACTATGACAGAAATTCAAGCTAAAGCTATACCACCTTTACTAGAAGGGAGAGATCTGGTGGGAGCAGCTAGAACAGGATCTGGAAAAACATTAGCTTTTCTTATACCGGCTATTGAACTTATATACAAGTTAAAGTTCAAACCTAGGAATGGTAAGACTACTTTAATATAAGAATTTCATTTATGAAAAATAAGTGACACAAAGCCTTCTTTTTATATTTATTTTAACAATTCTATTGGAAAGTAGATGATTGGACTACTCTTTTTTAGTGAAACTCTAAATTGTATTTAAAGCAATGTATAACAATATAAATTTAAAGCATTATCATTCAATACATATTATAAGCAAAGCCACTTCGTATGATGACCAAAAAAGGCGAATGTGAAAATTTGACTCCGCTCTGTATGTGTAAAACAGTGATCTTTGCTTCCGGTGAGAACTGTTGAGGCATATTGCTGTTTTATTGCTAACTGAGTGTATTAAGAGTCATTTCATGAACGTAGAATGGATATCTGATATATTTTTTAATTATAATGTTTCACCCTGTGTTAATGTTGCAACACTAAACTATATGTAACATTATAGGTACCGGTGTTATAATTCTGTCTCCTACAAGAGAGTTATCGATGCAGACATTTGGAGTTTTAATGGAATTAATGAAGTACCATCACCACACTTACGGTTTGGTTATGGGAGGAGCTAATAGAAGTACTGAAGCACAAAAGCTATCCAAGGGTAATATATTTTTGAATATTGTTCTACAATTTTACAAATATGTTTGCACTCAAAGACAGGTCTCATTACAGATGAAACTGCGACGTACATTTATAATTATTATATTAATATATTCTTCCAATAATTACAGGAATAAACATATTAGTGGCAACACCAGGAAGATTACTTGATCATTTACAGAACACTCCAGATTTCCTCTTCAAGAATTTGCAGTGTCTTGTTATTGACGAGGCAGATAGGATACTAGAAATAGGATTTGAAGAAGAGGTGAAACAAATTATAAGACTACTACCAAGTAAGTGACAAACGTAACATATTTTGGCCTCTGAACTTAGGCAATATACAAATTAAATTAGGAATTTTAAATATAAACAACAAAAGGGTTCTATCTTTAGCAAGAGAAAAAGTTTGTCTATAGCTTTTATTGCGCTTTACAGAACGTCGACAAACAATGTTGTTCAGTGCGACTCAGACTAAGAAGACAGAAGCATTAACAGCACTGGCAGTAAAGCATGAACCAATTTATGTTGGCGTAGATGACCACAGGGAACAGGCAACAGTTGATTCACTAGAACAGGGGTAAGAAAATAGTCATGTCTTATTATGTTACAGTGTGTATAAGGAATACTTAAGACGTGAATGATACGTATCATATTAGAGTTCTTATGATAGAAGAGTAGAGACAGACATATTGTTAACTCAATGGAATGTAAATTCACCCTACTAGTATAACATCTCCATCAGCACTGTCGATCTATTCAATTATAAAGAGTTCCTCAGACTGAATCTGAAATGGAATTAAACTTCACAACTTTTTCCATCTGTACAGGGATGCAATTTTTAAATTCCCATCACCATTTAATATCCAGATTACGAGATGTCTAACATGTTCCTGAATATATTAAAAACCTGTTTGTCCCAGAGCGGGTTGATTATTATTTATTAGCCAAGTATTGCTACACTAAAATCAACAATTGCTTTAATTGTTCTGTACAATCTTATTTCTTTAAATGAGTTGATCTGCAACTAAACTTTTTCTTGTTTTTTTTTTGCAGTTACATTGTATGTCCATCTGAAAAGCGTATGATGGTGTTATTCACATTTCTTAAGAAGAACAGAAAGAAAAAAGTCATGGTATTCCTGTCAACATGTATGTCAGTTAAATACCACCATGAACTATTTAATTATATTGACTTACCAGTTTTGTCAATACATGTGAGTAAACACAAAATATATCACTTTACAAATTAGACTAAAGAGGTAGTTATTAATTCATCTTTTGTTTGTTTAGTGTAGCATTTCACAGCCATATTAACTTGAATCTTTGAAACATTGTCTCTTGAAACATTTTTTATGTTAATTTCTTTCTAGGGTAAACAACAACAAGCCAAGCGGACAACAACATTCTTCCAGTTCTGCAATGCAGAGACTGGAATACTATTGTGTACGGATGTGGCTGCCCGTGGACTTGACATCCCAGCTGTTGACTGGATAGTACAATATGATCCACCAGATGATCCTAAGGTAAATAACAAGATCAATGACCGATGCCCAAATAAAATAATTTTCTATTATGTATACTGTTCTGTGTAATCTTGCATAATATTTATAGTTGGAGTAAAAGTGAAGTTGTAATATTCTATATGCTGCAAAGCAAAATTGACAATATAAATAATAAATTAAACAAATATGTAGACGATAAAGATAGCGATACGTCATTTTATTTTTTAGGAATACATACATCGAGTAGGTCGTACGGCTCGTGGACTCGGGACCAGTGGACATGCATTATTGTTCTTACGACCAGAAGAACTTGGCTTCCTGCGATATCTGAAGCAGTCAAAGGTCACACTGAATGAATTTGAGTTCTCTTGGAATAAAGTCGCCGATATTCAATTACAGGTACCTTAGTCTTTCAATCCAATTCTACAATTACAGGTCGGTAAAGTACAAGTCTTTTATATGACTTATTTTATATTAATAGAGCCCTTTCTTTGAATTTATTTATTTGTGTTAGATCACATTGTCTTATCTTTGTAAGAAAAAAATTATTCTTTATTTTTTTACAATGTCTGTATAATTCTGGCATATCTTTACTACGTGAGATAATCTTACTACTTATCATGCTTTTCACATTTTGGGCTGAGAATCAGGAAATTTCCCTAGACTTGTAAGCGTATTATTGCATTGCTATGTGTAAGTTCATGAGCCTAATTAAACTGTATCTTTATTTTCCAGCTTGAGAAGTTAATATCAAGAAACTACTTCTTAAACCAATCTGCAAAAGAGGCATTCAAGAGTTACCTGCGAGCATATGACTCTCACCATTTAAAAACCATCTTTGATATTGATACTATAGACTTAGCTAAAGTATCAAAATCATTCGGTTTTACGGTACCACCAGCGGTTGAATTGAAAGTTGCTCCTAAAAGCGGACCCACAAACAAACGCAAGGGTGGAGGTGGATTTGGTTACTTCAAGAGTTTAAATTCTTCTGGCCAAAAGAAGGTGGAGAAGACTAAGATATATAGGCAGAAAGGAAATAATAAGCGTTCCATTAGCTAATGTTATCTTTAAGCTATATTTACATATATTGCGTATAACATTGAAATGTGAAATAAATCTCACAAAAACTGACTTTTTGTTTCTTTGTCTGTAATAAAACCAATTCGGATATTGTACTTATTTATTTTAATTCAATATTACACGTATGTTTCTTGTGTCATAGTTTTTTCTTGGATTTGTTTTGCACTGATGTTTTAAATTTAAGGAAATTTTTAAATTAAAAGAGGCCCAAAAAAATATATAGTGTAATAAAAGTAATGCAGCAGTCATCTTGAGGACATTTTAAGTTAGTTTGTAATAAAGGATACAAAAATCCACATGTGGCTGTTCTAAAAATCCAAAAGCTTTTGCAGCTAATTTCAAATCTAAACTCTTAATGTTGAACACCTTAGACAATGGGTGCTTTTTATAGCATCTCAGAAATGATAAATATGCTTTCCGAGCTAAGACTTTCATGACACCATTGCTTTGTATAATGTCTTCCAGCTGTAATAGATACTTGTTAAAACAACACAACAATGAATCTATATTCAATAAAATCATAAAGTCTTACCATGTTTTGCACTTCTTCAGAGAAATCAAATGTATATTTATCTAAATAAACTTTTTCCTTTTCTAGAAAGTTTGTAAAGCATTCCTCCTCTGGTCTTAGCAGAATTACAGCGTTCCCGTGATTATTTATACCTCGAGCGGTGCGACCAACTCTGTGGATATATTCCTAAAGTTTTGAAGTAGTTTAAAACATGATTTCAAAACAGTTTCGCAGACCATTTCATAATTATCAAGATATATAAATAAATATTGAAGTTAAAGGATTCAGACTAAGGTTGATGTATTAATCCTAAAAATTTACATTGGCATAATTTACAGAAACATTGTTATGGATTCAAGCATTTTAAATATAAGACAATTAGGTGAATTGAAATTAAAATCAGTACCTTAACATCTGAAGGCGGATCAAATTGTACAACCCAGTCAACTGCTGGAATGTCTAAACCTCTAGCAGCAACATCTGTGCAAAACAGGATACCACTTTTAGTTTCTACAAAGTTTTCATATGCTTCCTTTCTTCTAGACTGACTAAGCTTTCCCTAAAAAAAAGCAAAGCTTTTTTACCATAGTATATTTTAAAATAAATAAATGTACTATTTAACACATGCTTCATGGATTTAAATCTATAACTGATCTGCCATCATAGGTTCTAATACTGCCCTTGTCAACAAATTTTCGAAGAAAAAATCAATTCAATTTATTCTATTCTATACAATAAGATATGAAGTGTATTTAAAACATCCTAAAAGCTAATAATTACTTACGTGAATATGTAAAATGTCTCCCTTACAACATTTTTTAAAGAATTCATAATGAAAATCGACAGATTTACAAGATGAAAAGAAAACTAAAACTTTTAATTTTCTTGCTCTTTTAAGCATTTTGAACAACCATGGTATCCTCTTTTCAACAGGGCAAATAAAATATCTGAAAGTTAAGTAATTAAATATCAGTTCAACAATTTACTTCAGTCTGTTCACAGATCTTCAAATAGATCAATGGGGAAATGTGTTTGCTTATGCCCTGTAACAGAATTTCATTATAGTTCACTATTGTGATGCAACAAATACATACCCTTGTTTTAGTCCCGCAACTGTAGATTGTATCTCATCTTTAACTATCACCGATGTAGGCTTTTCTCTGAGAGTGACTCTTGCGAGGTTTTTAACTCTTTCATCTATTGTTGCACTAAAGAGCCCAGTTTGTCTATTCTCTAAAAAATATTTAAATGAAGCAGCCATCTCAAAATTTTGATCACATTAAAATAAAATAAAATGCAAGATAAATTTTTACTTGGTAAATGTTTAATTATCCCAGTAATATGTTTTTCAAACCCAGCCTCAAGCAACTTGTCCGCTTCATCTAATATGAGACATTTTAAGTTTTGACAGTTGAATTCCTTAGTATTCTCTAAATGGTCCAAAATTCTTCCAGGAGTTCCGACGATTATATTAACACCTTATAAAGAAAATATCACCATGATTAGTACTTATAATCAAATGACTTACTAACAAAGGTATTACAGTAAATTAAAATAAGTTTAATGGTGTACCTTTCTTTAAAGATAATAATTCTTTTGACTTCTTAACACCACCAACGATTAAGGCATGAGACATTTTTATGTTTATAAGCAATTGCTTCAATATATTGTAAGTCTGAAGTGCCAATTCTCTAGTTGGAGAAATAATAATACTTCCGGTACCTACAATTATAATTATCGATAAACAAGAGTATAGATTTTTTTTAAAGAAAGTGTAAGTCACAAGTGTCACATTACCTTACCATGCACTTTGGAGAAATTATTTCTTATTAAATTATCTACAAGTGGTATAAGAAAAGCTAAAGTTTTCCCACTCCCAGTTTTAGCTCCAGCAATAACATCTACCCCAAGTAACATGTGAGGTATAACCTTTGCCTGAATTTCTGTTGGTTTTTCAAATCCCATTCCCTGTAGACAGGATATGATCCGGTTATCAATTTTTCCTTCCAACATGGAATAGTTCGAATGTCTCAAAATTTCTTCGACACTCATTTTCTCTATTATGTTTTTTCCCAAATCTAATTCATAATATCAACAATTTTTAATTTTTCTCTAGTTCTACTATTAAGGTTACGGCTATTATTACTGTTAAGCTATATTGTTTGTAAATGTAAAAAAGAAAGCCGCGCTTCGCATTATGTAAATAACACAATGTTTATAGTCGTTCCAGGCACAGTTCCAGCCGAGCATGGCCAAATGTCGGAATATGCTTTGACTTTTTAGTGTCATTTGTTAGTCATTCTTCTTCTTCCTTTTTTTTAAAGAGTATATCATTATATACTCTTAAAAAATTTCATTGAAATTTTCAACATTTATTATCTGCTAGCGGAAATGGAATTTTGATACATGATATGTCAGAATATCATTGGCCAACGATCCTGTCATCACTCGTCAAATCGTCACCGGTGAACATTCGGTACTTTGCTGTCATAAAACTTGATAATTTTTAGTTTACACGTTTATCAAGTGTTTTTCTCTATTGTTTGAGTTGAAAATTAATCATGATTAATTTATCTTGGCTTAGCAAATTACAGTCCTCTATATTAGTGACTTTTTCCCTGGTAATATTCGTTTTGTCTGATGTTCCGCGACCCCGCGGCGTATCATTATCGAAGGCTTCACTTTATTCACCAACAAAAGATTTTACGTGTTTTGATGGTACAAATACTATTCCATTTAGCTACGTGAACGATGATTACTGCGATTGTTTCGATGGCAGTGATGAACCCGGCACATCGGCTTGTTTAAATAGTATTTTTCACTGCACAAACGCAGGACATCGACCGCAAAATATTCCAAGTTCTCGTGTAAACGATGGAATTTGTGACTGTTGTGATGGGACTGACGAATATGCTGCACCTGATTCATGTACCAATACATGTGAAGAACTCGGACGCGAAGCCAGAGCTCAGGCGCAACAGTTAGCCGAACTTCATAAAGCGGGTAACTCGCTCCGATTAGAACTAATCGACAGAGGCAATAAAAAGCGTAGCGAAATGGCAGAACAATTATCCCAATTAGAAAAAGATAAAGTAGAGGCTATTCAAATTAAAGAAGAGAAAGAAGCATTGAAAAATGAATTGGAGGCAAAAGAGAATGAAGCTCTTAAAGTATACAGAGAAGCTGAGGACAAAGAGAAAGAGCGAAAAGCAGAGATAGAAAAAGAACAAGTTCTTAATGAAGCAACTGAACAGTTTAACAAATATGATTCTGATAAGGATGGAGTTCTCACTATGAGTGAAATAAAAGTTGTGAATGTCTTCGACAAGAACAAGGATGGAGAAGTGGACCAGGAAGAAATTCAATACTTCTTTGGTGAAAATGAAAGTATTGATAAAGACACATTTGTAACTTCAGTTTGGTCATTACTGAAACCATTGTTGATGATGGAAGAAGGCATGTTCCGTCCTGAACAGGAGGAGCAAGAAGATCATGAAGATGACTTACCACAGGTAGAAGAGCCCCAAGATATGGAAGGTGAAGAAGAAAGTGAAGATATTGATCAACATGAACTGAATGTTGATGATCAAATTGATGAACCCTCAAAAACATATGATGATGAGACAAAGAGATTGATGGATGAAGCTTCAGAAGCTCGTAGACACTACAATGATGCTGAACGTGCAGTAAGAGAAATAGAGTCCAATATTAGAACTATTCAACAAAACTTGGAAAAGGATTACGGTCTAAACCAAGAATTTGCAACTATGGATGGTGATTGCTTTGAATATGAGGATAAAGAATATGTCTACAAGTTATGCCTGTTTGATAGAGTCACACAAAAGTCTAGGAACGGTGGTGGTGAAGTTGGATTAGGAAGCTGGGGAGAATGGGCTGGTGAAGGCGACAACAAATACTCTATCATGAAATACACAAATGGAGTTACTTGTTGGAATGGTCCAGCTAGAATGACCACAGTCCATTTAAGCTGCGGCTTAGAATCAAAATTAACATCAGTCACTGAACCATTTAGATGTGAATATAAAATAGATTTAACCACTCCAGCAGCTTGTGATGACTCCCAATTTATACAACAACAACAAAAGAGGGAATCGCATGATGAGCTATAACTCTTTCCTATAATTAAGCTACACCTGGGTGATACCACATTAATTTTAGACTAATCATTTCATGTTTTCATTAAGGTAAAGTGATGCAGCCCTGTTGCATTTTGTTTATAAATAACAGTTATTTATTGCTACAGATAATGTTTTATGAGGTTTCTGAGACCTGTTTGATTTATAGGCTATCTCATGTTTTTCATTGTACATACAAAGGAAATTATAACACAATGGATGTTTTAAAGAATTTCAAAATAAAAGTCCATTACAAAAACACCTCATTTTTGGCTTATTTACTTTTGGATGTGCATAATATCAAGACTGAAGTACTAATAATATATACTTGCAGGTGATAAAATATTAAAAAGGCAGACAGTATAAAAAAATGGTACAATTTTTATCAGTCACTTGTTATGCATACAAATATACATATAACTTATTTGTTCAACACTTGAGAATGCCTTATCAAAAGATTTGCAATAACTTGGAATAAATGCTGCCAATTTTATATTTTACACATTCCTCATTGTAAGGCTGTATTAGGCAATTTAGTCATAGATGTTTTAATGAACAAAAGTTGTAAATTTAGTGATCAATAAATTAATTTTAAATTTTTATTTTTCTTTCATTTTTAGTTATGAATGATATTTCACTTATATATCCATCCAGTTTTAAAGTGTGTGCAATTCAATAAAAGACATTTCTTATATCATGCCTTTACTTAAAAACCTTATTGTTAACTTAACTACATATTTAAAGTAGACCTTGTCGCTTCAAATCTTCATAGGTTTTACGATTTACCACATTACCTTGCGAGTCTTCGAACTCTTCATCATTTTCAGCGACAAATCTCTCGCCCTCCTTTTGATTTTTAATTTTTTCCCACACTGAAATTTACAAGATATATATTTAAGTACTACACACACAGTTATCTCATATGAAGACAACTTAAGATAAGCCTGGCAAAAAAATTCACAGGATCAAAACTATACGTTTTAGTTCGATTAGCCAGACTAAGATCTAATTTGAAAATAATACAACCTAAAAATTAGTACATTATAGCTACTGCTTAAATGTGTCAGCTCGGAAAAAGAGGGTAGGATGATAGAAACAGCAATATACCCACATGCTAAAGCATCTTCAATCTGCGTGACATTTGCGAAGTGAGCAGTGTTTGGTATGCCCAAACAACGCATTCCATGAGCGTGTCTCCATTCAGCAAAGTGACGTTGGAATGCCTTTGGACCCTTGTAGGTGTAGTTGCCGCAGATTTCACACGAGTAACTTATGTTCAGGCCGTGTAGCTTGTACAGCCAGTATGGGATGGGCTATAAGAGAGATGTTATTCATTAAAATATTAATAATATATAAAATAGTTAGCATTTATGTGGAGTCTGGATCACTAAGGCTTTTAATCATTATATCCAGTAGAAATTATTAAAACACCATTTGAACATATTTTAACTTTTTGGTTTCTCAATTAAAGAAAAATGGCATCTCAAGCTTGCTGATTCTTTATGAAATTAATACAATATTACATAAAGTTTATATAAGGCCCACAATTGCTACAATACGAAAATATAATTGTTTTAATGTATTACATCACCATATTGACATAGCATTTATTACTCTCATAATGTTTGATAAAACGCAGAATCCATATTATTATTAATTAACAACCGTTTTAAAGTTGTACTCTCATGACACAATTACTTTCAAAATTATTTTAATATAATTATGAATATCAATAGAATGTATTACCTATACAATATTGCACTTAACATGTATGTAATGCATATTTAATTTTAAACGGTTTTATTCTGAGGATACATTTTTAAGTTGTTCTTAAAATTATAGCATATACTAATAATGTTGTTAACACTATATTATAGTATGTACAACCCTCTTACAAAGTTGTAAACAATAAATTATTAAATGAAGGCATAGGCCACATTGGCCTAATTTAAATCAATTTTATGACATCATATAAATACTATTATTGTTTGTAACATCGATAATCGTTAACTATAAACAATCTTGTCTTCTAAGGGAATTTACTTGGACGATAACAATAATAAAATAATACGTGAACTTCCTTATTTTCTACGCATAATAATTACAGTAATTACAACTAATTAATAAGGTTCTTGGAATTATCTAGTAGTAAATTCTCCAGATATCTAAGTTATGTAGAAGGTAAAATTCATTCATAGTAAGATAATATAAGTCTATTTTTGGAATCAACACTTTGGTTTCCAACATATTCTAAATGCATTTTTTTTTATCGTCAACACATGTTGCTAGGTATTATATCTATACTGATATATAAAGCTGAAGAGTTTGTTTGTTTGTTTGTTTGAACGCGCTAATCTCAGGAACTACGGGTTCGAATTCAACAATTATTTTTTGGTTGATAAAAGCATTTAGCAAAACTAATTTGGATGCCCAAAATAACGATTCTCGCAGACGAGGTCGCTGGCACAGCTAGTAATAAATATTTGTTGAACACCTCCTCAAATTCAAGTCTGAAACTCAGAATTTATCAAATATATATTAGGTCACCTTGCCATCCCAGCCCAGCGGCAAGTTCTTTGGATTGTAGGGCACTTCATCATCATCAGAGTCGATGTCAGCCGTAACTGAAGCATCACTCTCATCATCGCTTTCGTCACGACGTTCGCCAGCCGCACGGGCTGCTCTGCGGGTTACATTCTCTATTGTCGCCGCGCGGGTACTGCTGACTATGTTGGCGAATCTAAACATATTTTTACTCCAATAAAAAATATTGATATTAAAAACAATGATTTTCCACAAATTTTACCATGCATTCATTTTGACAATTAAGTTACCCAAACTATAGTTACCCCACTCCCATGCGAAAAAATAAACAACTTATATTCAATACTGTCTATAGTTTACGCGAGTAGTACACATTTAAATAAAACACTTTAACGGTTTAAAACGCGATATATTAGTTAAACTTATTTGAAAATGATTTTTAATTTCGGCCCGACGTTTCGGATGCTTTGCAGCAGCCGTTGTCAAGGGGTCTCCCCGTGACCACGGCTCAAAGTTAAAAATCATTTTCAAATAAGTTTAACTAATATATCGAGTTTTAAACCGTTAGAGTGTTTTATTTAAACTTATATTAAATTCATTTTTACACCTAAGTTATCCTGATTTTATTTTTCAATAAGTTTCTTCCTTTGAGATTCTTCTTGAATATATTAGTTGTAAATTTTTAGCTATAGACTTCCTAGGAACTATGTATACTTTACATAACATTTTAACAAAAAACTACCTGTACACTTGAGCCTCAATTGCAGAAATATCTTTGTGTCTTTGCTGTATTGTTGCTTTTGCCTTATTTTGACCCTTCTTTGCAACTAATGATTTGTCTAGGGCAGTTTGTCCTTTTGTACTGAAAAGTCTGAAATAAAAATAAAATAAATAAACTATACAAGAATAGTACCTTCTATCAAAAGATTTGATTAGTAAAATATTTTTTTTTTTTGCAATGCACATTAAAACAAATTCTCTAAAACTATACCCTGGTTTTAATTTAGTTTACATAGAACCCCATCTGTATGATATTATATAAAATTTTATCAACTGTCTATCGTAATGTTGTCATATACCTTTGTGCCCTTTCTTCCAGGGTACCACCACATTTCAAGCCCAATGCCATAAGAGCAGACTTCAATCTGTCTAAACCTAAGGAGGCCAATTCCTCCCAAGAGGAAAATGCAGACAAATCCAAATGAGCCCCAACATTAGTTAAAGCACCACCTGTTTCTTTCTAAAACGAAAAAATTTTGAAATTTAAAGTTTCAAAACAAAATATGCCATATGTAATTAAGATATATAAAAGTAAAACAGCTATATCATAGCTTATCATAAAAGAGAATCTTTTAGAGATGCCTTTTTTGATGAGCTATGAAAGATAATATATTTCTAAAAGACATGTTAATTGGCTAGTATGTACATAATAAACATTTTTAGTTTACCCTTATGGCCATGTGTAATATGTGTATTTGATTAAAAAAATTTAAACTTTGGATATTGCAGCCAAATATTCATCTCATCTATTTGTAACCTCTATAAATACTTACTGGCCATCCTGGGAATGTTCCAGCCTCCCACTGTTTAACAAAGTCTTGATGGGCTAGTGCCATTTCTTGAGCCTGGTCCGAAAGAGGTTTTACTCTGCTCACAAAGTCTTTCAAATATGTTAAAAGTGCTCTTATATAATTTCTATAATCGCTGTTTTTGCGTTCCCTAGGTATATCAAACAGATGATCAAAAATACTCAAATATGTTATGTAGTCAACTTTCTGGAACAATTATATTATAGGACTGATAAAATATATATTGGTATGAAGAATTTCAATTGATATCCAAAAATAAAATAAACAAACCTCAATTCCTTTTAGATTTATGTATTTGTCATAGCATTCATGTAAATCCAAATACTTTCCATAACCTTCCTCATCTGTGAACTCAACAGGGGCTGAAACCAAATTAAATTTAATGTATTGCTCTATGAAATTTGTAAGCAACCAAATCACCGCTATTCCTATTTAAGGTTTATCATTATCAAATGTAAAAGCTCTCCTATACTTACTTGTATAATCTTCAGCAGGATTCTCCCTCAGTTTAGCAAGTTCTTCAAATTCTACTGACATTGGTACACAAATCTGAAATAATTGTCAATATATAAGTAACATATAAAATTCAGTAACAATGGTTCATAACATTCTTCAACTTACTTCATTTGGATGTTTTCTATGAAACTCCTTGATTTGTTTCAGCCTTGAATAAAATTCAGAAAACTCATTTGGACCAGATAAAGCAGCAATTTCTTCTTTCCGTAAACCATCTTTGTCTTCATATAATTCTTTCAAACGAATTGTTGACTCAATGTATCTCTAAAATAATACATTAAAATATGAAAAACTGAATTTAATATTTAAAAGACAATTATAATTAATACTTACATCATGTAAATTCTTTAATCGATGATCAGCATTGATTGTTTCCCGATGCTATAAAGTTTGTAAGACATTTAGTATGGAGTTTTAAACTTATTGACGTAGGAAATTCTTAAGTATGAATAATCTCTTTAACTTTACTTTAACAAATTAATAACGTTAAATAGGTCTTATAAGCAAATCTGCTAAGAATTATAATGAATTTCATGTTAATTAATGAATTAGTTGTTAAAGACGTTTTAATCTATAAAACACATACCCCTGTTTTCTTTTGCAATATTTCTTTGACCATAGCGTCCATGGTACGTTCTCTTTCTTCATGGTAGCTTCTTTGTTGTTCTAAAATTGTTTCCATTCTTCACGAACAATTGATTAGTTATAAGAAGTAGTTATTACACAATATTATTTAGTTAGAAGCAACGTAAATAAACAGTTTCTTTAATTTGCTAGAGATAACCTCAATCACAATTTCGAGATTTGTTTAGCGATATGACAATTTACATGGAGAGGGATGTGTCAAAGTAATTAAATGTCAATTAATTTTCTGTCAAAACGTGACTTTTATTCTTCTGCTCACGTTGTTTTGACATATTATGTGCAAAATATAATTTAGTGTCCTTTTTTTAAATAATAATGGTTATAATTGCTGATAAAAATAGTAATTTGTGAATAAGTATCTAGTTTTAAACATATTGTCATCATAAATATGAAGGACAATAACGGTAACAGCCAAATATTCACCGGCGCCAGAGTACTAGGTTATGTTAGTACACATGTACCACTCGTAGCAAGATTTATTAAAAGAAGAGGCGAAACCCTACTTTGTACAAGTGTGGGTAAATGGTTTCACACGTATGGCTGTGACAAATTTCGTCTTTTAAGTGTGAGTGGTGAACACCCTGGTCCAATAACATGCATGGCTGGTGACGGCTTTCATATCTACACAGCTAGTGAGAACAATATTTATGCCTGGAGACGAGGCTGTGAACTCAAGCATATTTATAAAGGCCATAATGCCGCTGTGCATAAAATATTACCATTTGGTATCCATTTTATCTCCATTGATAAGGATAATGTTTTGAAAGTGTTTGACATAAAAGAAGAGTCAGAATTCCTTGAATTGAAATTTGAAAAGAATTTTAAAATTACCACGATTTGTCACCCGCCCACTTATCTTAACAAAATTTTACTAGGCAGTAAACAAGGTTCTTTGCAGTTATGGAATATTCGAACATCCAAACTTGTCTATACATTTAAAGGTTGGGACTCTCATGTCGCGGTGACTGAGCCTGCTCCTGCTGTAGATGTTGTAGCTATAGCTTTACAAAATGGAAAAATATATTTACATAATTTAAAACTTGATAAAGTCGTTATGCAGTTCACAAATGATTGGGGGCATGTGAGTGCCTTATCTTTTAGAATGGATGGATTACCTATAATGGTAACGGGCAGTGATGATGGTCATATAGTAATGTGGGACTTAGAGGAAGAAACTGTAATATCACAAATACAGAAGGCACATACAGCAAAAATTGCTGGATTGCAATGTATGATGTCAGAACCTCTTATGATAACAAATTCTAGAGATAATTCATTGAAAATGTGGATATTTGATATGCCAGATGGCGGTGCAAGACTTTTAAAGAAGAGGTAAGGAATCAGGCACTTTAAATTTATACTTTTTAAAAATATACAACAAAAAAATGTAAATAAGACTCATATTTAATATCTTAACTTGTAATATGAAAATTAGAAACTTAAATATATAAATAATCCTAATTGTTATCAGTCCATGCCTCTGAATAGAAAATATTTCCTCATTACTAATGTACAGAATACTAATATATGTTTGTATTTTTAAATTTTTAGAGAAGGCCAAGCAAAACCTCCACATTTGGTGAGGTACTGTGAGCCAACTGGTGAGAATATTTTGGCAGCTGGTGGAGACAGTTCCCTACATATTATGAATACTGTAACTGAAACATTTAACAAAAGCTTAGGACAAGCATCGATCAACAGAAAAAATTCTAAAAGAAAAAGTAAGTTTCCTTTTTATAATGGATGTGTGGCCAAAAGAATGATAGTTGCATTTGAGCTACATATACCTGCATGTTGGATGTCTTGTTACTTATTATTTCTATTAAGGGCATTGATTGTAAGCCAGGTGACCAGCCACGTAAATTGCTGTCCATTTCAGCCCAGGAATTTGTGTACAATTAAGCATGGGTAGTAAAGAGAACACACAAAAGTACATTTTTGTGTCAGTTCTTAGAATTCTGTGCCCTTCTCAAACTAAATAATTTTTCTCCTATTGTTTCCCCAGAATTCAAAGCCAGACCTCTCGTGCTTAAGGCAACACTTAGGCATATAAAATGTTTGCCCTAACTTGTAACTTGACCATGCTCTTGTTCCATTACGTAAAGAGTAAGCAATAGGAGTGCTGGAAAATGATGATAATATAATAGTAATTTAATAATAATAACTATTTTACAGATCGATTGCAGATAGATACCAACATAATAGCTCCAATTTCACATCTCAGTTCATGCATGCAAAGAGATAAACAATGGGACAGTATTGCATCTCTACATAAAAATATGAAAACTGCAATAACCTGGTCATACAACAGATTATGTATGGGAAAGCATAAGTTGAAGTCTCCAATAATAGATAAACAAGTAAGAGCTACATGTCTGACAGTTACACATTGTGGGAACTTTGTTATTATTGGTAAGGATAATACTGTTATTTTTTTATTTATTTTCTTTGCATTACTGCCTATTTAGTCTAGTGGTTAGTATAATTCAAGTAATAATAAAACTGCATATCAGTTTGTTGGAGGTTGTGACATCTTACTAAGTCGGGTGAAATATTCTTTAGGTTTGTAGTTTAGATTTTTTGTATGAAACAACTTTGACACTGCACTTTGAAAGTAGGAGGTGGTGGAGATAGATAGGCCATAACCCCATTTCTCGGCGATATCATCACTTATTTTATGTGGTAATGGTAGTCCTCAAAGCTTCCTAATACACAATGGAAGTCCTTGATAGTCCTCATTATGACAATTTGTCTTTATTTAAAGTGATAACGTTTTTTTACTGATTTTAGGTTATAGTAATGGTCAAGTACATAAGTTCAATATGCAGTCTGGTTTATATCGGGGACATTACGGTAACGAAAAACTACGGGCACACAAGGGCGCTCTCCGAGGAGTTGAGACAGATCTTTGTAATCAAAGAACCATAACAGTTGGATCTGATGACAAATTGAAGTTTTGGCGGTTCAAATCTGGTATGTATATATTATATCATCTAGGGAATATTATATTTTGAATTGAGTTTTTGTAGGTTGTATTTTATTAGTCAAATGACTATAATACATGCAACAAAATATCTTAGGTCAGCAAACCAAAAAAGTCTTTGTGGAAGTTAGGAGTCACCAGTAAGTACCAAATCTTATAAAAAAAATTGTCTTGCTGTTTGTGTTAGACATAGATATTTATCAAGTTTATTAAATTAAGCCTTTTTTTTATTAAATTGAAATCTCGTTCTCCGTCGTGGGCGTGTGGCCAATACATTTCTGTCCATTACACTGATCGATTTAATTTACTGGCACGTAGTTGATGACTTCTGTGCTATGCCTGACCGAAACATCTAATATTTCTTCGGGATTCAAACCCAAAAACCTCAATAATACTGGCAGGCAACACATTTAACCATTTAGCTACACAGGCAGTCTATTTTAACTGGTTTTAGAGATTCTTTTGCAAAACAAAGGCATTTTCTATAATGTGATAAAATTAGTAGTAATTTATTTGTGTTTTTTCTAGAAACAACACCATATCACGTGATGAGGTTAGAACACGGAGTGCAAAAGACAAAATGCCACAGAGAAAGTGGATTGCTAGCTCTTGCTAATGACGACTTTTCTATTACCCTTGTGGATATTGACACGATGAATACTGTGAGACAGTTCGAGGGACATTTGGGAGTTATTAATGACATCGATTTTGACTCACAGAGCAGGTAATAGTGCAAATATTTATACGGATGTGTCATTGGATGCAAATTTAACGCCTTAACTGTCAAAAATCCAGCTAAATGTTGAATGGGTCGCTCGGACCAATAATGGAGAAAAAAATATGTATTTTGCCTTTGAATTACATTTTAAAACAAATAATTACCAAGTAATTTATAAATCTCTGTCCAAATTTGGATACTTTAAATTCTGCCTAGTAAAATACTTACAAAATACTGTCTGTAGATTATACGAGTTGTACACATTTAAATAAAATACTAACGGCTTAATACCCTATCTATAAATTAGTTAATAAAATATAAAACAGATGGCGCTAGTGTTGCAGATTTACTTTGACATTAAAGACCACACACATGTTTAATCTGCCCTTGACCACGGCTGTTGCAAAGCATCCTTAAGGTCAGACCGCAGAAAAATAATTTCCCAATAAATTGAACTAATATATGTAAGGTGTTTTAAACCGTTGACGTGTTTTTTTGAAAAGTATTTACAAGGAATTCTTTTGTAGATGGCTTGTAACAGCATCAGCAGATTCTACGATATGCACTTGGGATATTCCTAGCGCACAACTAGTCGACGTTTTCGCGGTAAGCGTCTTAATTAATTTCAACTCTGATATGTTAGTTATGCCAAATTTTCTTATTTATTTAAAATACAGCAGTATTATTGATGCTGGTAGAAATATGAAAATTCCGTCCGATTAACTAAACACCGTCCACAGATGAAAGAGCCATGAAGTTTATTTTAATTTCATAGCAGCCTTATATACGTTTCAATATGTTTATAGGTAGAAGAACCCTGCACGTCTCTTAGTATGTCGCCGACCGGTGATTACTTGGCGACAACTCATGTAGGAGAATTAGGCGTTTTTCTTTGGGCCAATAAACTACTGTATGAGCGAGTTTTCCTCAAACCAGTTAGCAGGGATGCTGTTAATGTTCCGAAATTAAGTAAGTAATACATCTTATTGTTTATGTACACATAAATAGAACATGATTAATTAGAAAATTACTGAAATGATATACAAGTAACAAAAAATGTTTTTTATTAAAGTAATGAGACAATCGTCAAATGGCATAGTGATCAATTTATAAGGAAATTATAATTATATCAATCATATTCTTTATTGTATAAAAAATTGAATATATAACACAATATTTATAATTTTCACAAATACATATATATAAGTACAAAAAAAACTTAAAATGTAATGTGTTCTAACTCCCTCTAAATTTTCCTAGAACTACCCACGACAGCGCCTGAAAAGCCCGATATAGAAGACATAGCGACTATCGACCTAGGTGAAGTCGAGTACAAATCACCAGAGCAAATAAGCATGGAACTCCTTACTTTATCCGGGCAATCTACGTCTAGATGGCTCAATCTACTCAATTTGGACATCGTTAAAAGGAGAAACAAGCCGAAAGCGCCGCTAACCGTACCTAAGTCAGCGCCGTTCTTTATACCAACAATACCAAGCTTAGAATTGGAGTTTGACCTTGAAAAAGACAAGGAGGACACGACCAAGCTTCTCATACCGGATACCTTGGTAACGTTGACGCCTTTCGCTAAGAAATTAGTCAATTGTGAGACAGACGGTGATTATGAGATTTGTATATTGAAGTTAAAGGACATGTCGCCGTCGGCTATAGAAGCTGAAGTATCGAGTATGGCCCCGGATGTAGGTGGTTCGATAGATGTGATGCAACAATTCCTACATTTGATAGATAATGTGTTGAAAAGTAACAAAGACTTTGAGCTAGCTCAAGCGTATTTAGGCTTGTTTCTAAAGACTCATACTAAAGTGATTTCACAGAGTTCTGATTTGAAGAGTACTTTGCAATCGGTGGGAGAGTCTTCGGCAACCGCGTGGTTGAGGTTGCAAAACAGTTTGTTGTACAATATTTGTGTCGTTAAAGCATTAAAGGACATATGTTTAATCTAGACGTAATTGTATCTCTTATTTTAAATTACCATTTTTCGCCAATTTACGCAATCCGCGTTCAGACTATAACACATTTTTTTAAACATAAATGTTAAAAAAAAATACAGGCTTAAGTATTGTCGATAGTTTAAGCGAGGAGTACACTTTTAAATAAAACACTTACCGTTAAGTAAAAGCGTAATTTGTTAGTCCTCCCGTGACCACACCTGTTGCAAAGCATCGGAAACATCGGGTCGTAGTTAAAAAAGTAATCGTTAAGTCAACTAAACAAATGTTTGTTACTCGTCGAATTTTAACGGTTTACAGTTAAAAGTGTTCTATTTTAATATTTATAAGCTTAGCAAATTGTTTTTATAGTGACAGAAGCTATACATTATGTCCATTGCAAACATACTAGATTAAAGTATACCCTTAAAGTTCAAATATGTGTATGTATTTTAAAATATATCCGAATTAAAACAGCCTTTGTGTAATGAATTGTAAATAAAATTGCAATTCGTGTGTCTTTGCTGCAAACAACTAAGTCTTATAAATTCAAATTACAAAAATAGTGACCGCGAGTTTCAGTTAACAGAAGTTATAACTATTTACGTAGGGCAAGATATAATTATAGTTCATAGTTAAGGTACTAACTAATACTATACCTAATGGTCCGCTTCTTGCTCTTGAATATGCCCAAACCCCCGCTGAGACGGTCAAAGGATCAAAGGAACGTGTCTGCATTACACATGACCATAATATCGAGATTTACAATCAAAGCGCCAATGCACTTTATTCGAAAACGTAGTTGCAACATTTAGATTACCGTCAGAGATAACGTGGCTTTTATATGCCAATAACAATAAAATGGAATCACCTAGCGCTGATCGGAATCCAGTGGAATTTCTTAATAAGCTTTTTTATCTCATTAACTTTTTGCTAAGTCCGCGCTGATTAACTCTATTGGGGATACCGTGTTTTGAAATTTTAATACCGTTGCTATATTAAATGGGAATCGAAGAATGAATATTAATAGATAATCTTTAGTAAGGTCATCAATGAACCACTAAATGAGAATAATACGACGAGCTTGTTGGTATAATGGTAGCAATGTGTTGCTTATAATCAATGAGTCCTGGGTTCGATCCCCACCGGTTTGGTAGTTATATCTAAATCCCGTCCTGATCACGAACCGCTGTCCACAGAAATAGCCGTCAGGCTTAACTGCGTTTCGGTTTCTGTCTTTGGATTTCCCAACATCCAAGAATATATCAGGGGTATTTTATCTAACGGCAAATGAACCCCCATGCCTATCTGACCTCTATCATAAAAAAGGACACTTTTTAAGAAAACGGAGCAGATCAACGTATTTACTCATTTAATTGTTGAATGAGACTCAGATCAGTATTATATATATTATTTAGGTTACAGCAGTGACACTATCAAGCATAGGAATAAAATTTATCAAGATATCAAAATGTCGGTAAGACAAAGATTAAGTTTGCAATTGTTCTTCAACTTAGCTTTTTCAATTGACTAAGCTACTTAGACAGTGCTGTAAGGCACGCTGTACGTTATTGAACTATGAAATAAATATTGATGCTTTAAACTTCATTTGTATAAATTAACGGTATTTTATATTATTTTGACTGTGAATAGAAGTTTATTTTATTGCTAGTGTGTATGGTCATTCCGTCTTTGTATTCACTAATGTTATTTAGTTCAGTCAGTATAAATTTAGTTATAGAAAATAAACTCGTTATCTCTATGGAGAATATTGATTGTGGTCTCCTTTATTAATTAGAGGTAGCGAACGTGATATCTTGGTAAAATTCACAGGTTTCGAAGGCATTTGTATGCCAAGCACAACTATACATATCAAGTTATCAACCTTATCTCGTATGAATATTGAATTTACGTGTAATAGAGTACAAGTGTCTGTATTATAAGACAATTATCATTCCTTTGTTGGATTTAAAAGGCGAATTTCAATTACGTTTCTCATAAATTTGATACGGTCTAGAGTATATTTTTTTCTTTAACGTGCAGTAGATTTTGTTGTTAACGAGTGTCAAATTCAACTTTATTTAATCTAAATTTAACTTAACACTCACGCGCGATTCTTACTATCAAGTAAGCATCGCGAGACATGCGTATTTCACTTTTCACCCGTGCATATTGTTTCATACAATTACATCGGTACTATTCTAGCATTATTTCGATTATAGCAATATAGTTTTTTGCTTTACTCTGTAAAGCATACATAAAAAAAAATAATAAGTAAAATATTTCATTGTAGTATGTCTTCTTAAAAGTCAAAAATAATTTATTCACGTAGGTAACTATAGTGTATTTTATTTAACTTGGCAAAAGACCACAACAAATATGGCCGATTTTAAACTATAGAGAACTGTGAAACCTTTTTTAGAGTGTTGTCGTTGCCACAGATAAGAAAGGGACAAAAATATCGACAATATACGTATCAAACGACTACAATATTCAAAATCTCTTTTCTGAGGACCTTTTCTTATAATTTTTAGTGCCATTATTATTTGCCAAGTCAAGTGCTAAAAAGCGACACGAACTTTAAGTTTATATATCGTCGTTTATATGATCGTGCATAGGTGGGACTTCTACCTTCTATTGTCGTTAACTTTGTTTAGATCACATCCTCATGTAAATGACAAACTTAAGAAATTTTAATCTGTGCGTTTGCCTAAACTTATTTTTACGATTTTTATTAATTTTAACATGTAATTGTGGTTTTTACCGAGTGAATTTGAGGTAGTGCATTAGTTTAGTATAAAATCCAGTGTCTCAAAGTGTTTTACGTGTGAATCCAGTGTCTCAAAGTGTTTTACGTGTGAATCCAGTGTCGAAAGAGTTTACGTGTGTAAACCTCATAAATCGTGTCTTTTGTTTATTAACAATGCCAAGTAAGAAAAAAATACAAATACTTAGTGTATTTATGAACGCCTCACTAGTTAAAAACTAAAGACTCTAAATTTTATTACATTTAGTACCAGTTCTCAAATTTAGGGCGTAGAACGAACGAGAAGAACTGGCAAAAAACTCGTCGCCACTCCTTTTATCACCCAGTCTCATTTTACAGTCTTCACGTACTTTATGTGCACTACATATTTTTTTATTGTTAGAGCTCGTTCTTCCAAACCTCCACCACTTTTATCGTTTAAATGTTGATAAACATAAAAGTGACCCTTTCGAAGCATTTTTTGTTTTACATACGACTAAAACTTATTTATTGCCGAAATCCATTTTATGGAGTCTTCTGGTTGGTACACTTATTGTCGTTCGTGTCTACTTTGTGTAACAGGTCTAATAGAGATTTAACTTTAAATTAACACAAAAAAAAAAAAAAAAAAAAAAAAAAAAAAAAAAAAAAAAAAAAAAAAAAGGGAAAAAAACGGAAAAAAAAAAAAAAAAAAAAAAAAAAAAAAAAAAAAAAAGGGCCCGGTTTGGGGGGAGCCGTTTTCGGGGGGAAACCACGGCCACAAAAAAATTTTATTATATATCGCGTATTTTATATTAAAGTGGTTTATTTAAATGTGTACCTACTATTCGCGTAAACAATACTCGTATTCAAGTTGACTGATCGCGTTTTAAATCGTTAATTCTAAAATTCTATTTGTTTAATTTGTGTAATTGTAAATTGAACGTGGCAACACTGATCGCAATTCGTAGTGAGGCGCACGTAGTCTGATGTCTCAGCAGTGCACAATCCATTAACGCGTACTGCTATTACACAGAACTGAAACAGATAGTTCAAACATCAAAGTAAGTACATCAGGCTATCTTGCAATCTAATTTCTGTTGGAACTTGGAGGACAGTTTCGGAAACAAGCACGTTTTCTGTGTTATACAATAGCGCTTGAGATATATAAAACTATTTAGCAACAATAAAACTACGCGAATACTAAATTTAAACCATTTTTATTATGAAAAATAAGAAAATATTTTGGTTTGCACTTCTGCGCTTTTTGTCCCATAGCTCTAAAGTTTACGTACCTGCTATAGGTATAAATAAAAAATAATTTCCAAGTAAGTTTAACTAATATATCGCGTTTTAAACCGTTAAAGTGTTTTATTTAAATGTGTATTCTTCGCGTAAACTATAGACAGTACCTGCTATAGGTATTTATAATCTATGTCATAAGATACAGATTATATTATGAGAAGCGGTACCTAACTAGGTTTTGGCATTATCTTTTTTTGTATAATAGAGAAGAAGAGACAAGCATGGAGCTCACTTGAGGGTAGGTGAAATACCCCATTTGGATATTCGAAAATCCACAGACTGTAACAGAAACGTGATTAAACATTATGGCTGTATTATCAGAATAATATACAAATTTCCAGACAAGGACCAACATGTTTCAGAAAAAAAAATAATAAGTTTTTTAAATGTTGAACCCAGTGGAGGTCAAACCAACGACCCGTTGATTATTAGCCATACATTGCTACATCATTACATCAACGAACCTGTCGAAAGTAAAACAAGCAAAGTTGAGCGTTCCTGAATTCAAAATTTCGAATTCTTGAGAACAGAATGTAGTAAGTACTTACCCGTAAAGGAGTACGAAAATATTGTTATTCTATTTGATGTTTCCGTATTTATCGCATAAGAATAACACTTAGAAACTACACTACACACTACTACTACTACACAGAACACTTAGACTTTCGAAAGCAAAGCCGCTAGTGGTTGCCATTGCAAATCAAATCACAACTTCAGCATTACGCGCCTTTACATTAATTTAACACATTACCTTCTAAGACTTTTCGCACTTAAAACTTTGCCGTGCTGTTAGATTATATCGCTCCGGATTCCGACGTATTGTTGTTTCTAGGGACAACTTTAAACAACGAATTAAATGCGGAAAATTGTGCCGTGTCGTGTTTTACAACGGTCCCAATTTAACCTCTTAGCGAAGTTAGATTTTATGATTTCATTTTGAAGTTCGGTGTACGAGTTTGCGGTGATAAGTTTATTTTGATTACAG